TATGGCTTTAGCAAGTGCCATGCTTCTTGAATGCAAAAACCAACCACTCCCCGGGTTTGAAAGTACAGCTCTGAATTTAACCAAGCATCTAGCCTTGGCAGGACCTTCATACAAACCGGGGCTAAATGATGAGTGTATAATTACTCCAGTATAATTTTAATCCGTCCACCTTCAGAGCACACCACAATGCCCTGTTAAATGAATAGTGTTAGGATGATGCAAAGGGGAAATGGGGTCCTGCTAGTGAAGGCAGGGGGCTGGACTCGATGACCTTCAAGGTCCCTTCCAGTTCTAGGAGATAGGATAGGATAGGATATTAACTTGATTTATTTTTGTCTGAATGAGTGGGAGTTTTGTTTCTTTATCTGATTACATGCCAGGTACTACAGTACTCACAGACACCTTTGTAAATAAATAACATGAAAAATTCAATAAGAATTGAGCCTCAGCAGTGCGTTATAAATAATCTGAAAAACTGCGTTTCTTCAAGTCAACAAAACTCCCAAATGACTGGCACTCTAGCTCCCTCTTGTGGATTTGAGTGTCTAAACTTCAACATGTTTTGCAGCATCTCTTCCGCTATAAAAGCTAAGCTTCAATAGCAGAATACCACAGTGGTCTTCACGGAAACTACTGCTCCATTGTGAGTTTTGTAAAAAATGGTGTCTACGAGAGACAGCACAGATTCTGATGCTTGTACTTCATTAACATCTCTGCCGTCCCAGGCAGGGGGAGGACGTGCAAATATTGGTATCTTTTCTTTCAAGTGACAGCAAAGATTGCCATTTGCAATTTAAAATGCCATCTCGGCCTATATTTACATTTTTGATAAATAATACAGTTTGCTCAAAGAAGAAATTTCACCTGTGAGCTTATTCTTGGCCCCAGACTTATGCTAAATATTTGTCAGCTTGTTATAAACTGGGTCATTGCCAGCGTGAACAAGTTGTGTGAATCTCCCCCAATACTGATGGATTTGTAAACATGAACTGATGTGAACCCATTAGATGAAAATTAAAACGCAACACACGGGGGAAACAGGAATAAGTGCAGGCTCTGTTCTTGAAAGAGAAATCTGGGTAGCTTAGAAGAGAAAGGAAATACCCACTCAGTTCCCCAGCAAGCAACAGCCAAGATGATTCAACTAGATTCTACCTTTTTGCTATGAATGTTTTCCTATTCTGCCTGCTCCACTCCCTCTCTCCCACGAGTTTGCGCTGAACTTCTGCCCCCTCCTACTCCCCATATAACATCCAAAAAACACAAGCAACAGACTTTAGAAGTTAAGGATGAAGTCCCACAGTTTACTTGAACGGGCAGTAGATGGCACTAAAACCCTTTAATAAAATGGAGCTGCATGACGCCAAATGCCACAGGAACGTGATTTTCCATGATGAACCAATATGGCTATATGATTCTTCAGTGTGGTGTGGCTCGGAAAAGTTTAAATATGGTGCGCTGAGGTGGGGACAAAAAAAGGTAATTCCTCAGAGCGGTTCTAATAAATTCTAAGCAATAAACCAGCAAGAATAATACTCCTCTATTACAGTGCATGCAAATGAGTGATTGTGATCAGCTTAAATTTATACAATACTTTGCTCTTTCACAACATCATTCATTGGAAGATTTCTTTACAAATATTATTGTAGACTTCACACGCTCGACCTTTTCAACTTGTTCTAAAACAAAGAGTAAAAATGATTCATGCTGCCAGAGCCTGGGCTCCAGTACAGTTAGTTTTTAAGCAAAAAAATTGTTCTCCAGTACAGAGCAAGCCCCAGGGTCCTTAATTGTGCCAGTGCTCTTCAAAACTCCATCCCATATTTCAGACACATTTCACTGGGAGCAGGGCCGGCTCCAGGGTTTTGGCCTCCCCAAGCAGCCAAAAAAAAAAAAAAGCCGCGATCACAATCTGCGGTGGCAATTCGGTGGGAGGTCCTTTGCTCCGAGCAGGAGTGAGGGACCGTCTGCCGAATTGCCGACGAACAGCTGGACGTACCGCCCCTCTCCGGAGCGGCCGCCCCAAGCACCTACTTGCCAGGCTGGTGCCTGGATCCGGCCCTGACTAGGAGGGACCCATGTCCTATTCCTGTAAGGGAGCAGTTCCCTAAACAAGGGTTTGAATTGTCTTAGAGGGGTTGAGAAGGAGGAGAGAACAAGCATGGATACGTGAAGAGCAGTTCAATGTCGGTGACTTGACATGCTGGATTGTTTTGCCAGAGTTCTGGCATACACACACCGATTATATTCGGGATTCACTGATAGCAGTGGAGAGAGCAGGAGTACTTGCAACAGGAAGAGGAGGTCAGAAAACCAGAATATGTGATATAATTCCATAATGATACCTCTGTGCCCACACTGGGTAAAACATCTCTATCCACCCCAGGTTACACAAGTCTCACTGTGCTCCACACCATGGCAATCCCAATATACACAGGGACAGAGATCAGCATCTCCTAATTAAAAAAAAAGAAAAAAAAAACCAGCCCCTGCCATTTCACTAACAGATACTTTTGTACAGTATTAATTGTAACCATCCAGTAAAAACACCTCGGTGTCATTATGACCAAGTCAAAGAAACCTTTGCATAATGTGAAGTGGCACGTTATCTTTTCTACAATAGAAGAAGAGGGGCAGGAAAGAAGTTAGAGGGTCACACATTTGGAAACTAGTAAGTTTTTAATACAATGTATCATCAGTCTGTGGAACTCACTGCTACTAGAAATCAAAACATTTATATGATTATATCAATTGCTATCCTAGACAGAATTAAAAAATTTATCAAGTGTATCAACCTTAATGCTTCAGTATATACCAACCACTAACAGTTAAGGTGAAGAGAAAGTCCCTCCTGTTCCTCCCATAAATATGTTAGCGCACAGTTATCTATTATGGGGTATTATATACCAGATAATATCAGACAAGACTTTGGCTGGGATGTCAATTCTTATGTTCCTTTAATAGTTAGCAGTCTATGCAGCTGTAGTTGAACAATTCCAATTCCATACAATAGAGAGAATGGTGTGTGCACACTAGCAATTGCATTACAGCATATAGAACTCCACATTGCTTAATAATTAAGTGTATGCAACATTTTATTGAAAAAATATGATCCTTCTGTACAGTAAGTATAATTTAATGGGCTTGGTAAAAGACAAGCCTACAAAAAAGCAGCTTCTGTACTTGTGCAAGTGCAACCCATCACTGTGTGCAATGCAACACCTCTATTTCCACGTACTGGATTCTCAATATACTCAGAATCGTACAATGATGGGCTGCAGGAATTTTAAATGGGGAAGAACTGCCCTGACTGATCTTCGATCCACTGACGGTTTGAAATTGATTTAAGCAACCTCTCTGTGAAACTCCTAGACTGTTTGTGTCTGTGTTTCCACTGTTTCTAACAAATAAATATAAAAATAAATAGGGACCTGCCTCCTCCACAAAACCATAAGTCTCAGAAGCTACACACTGTTTGTAGCAATCTACATACATAATCAACTATATCAACATAATTTATTTAAATCTATAAATGTATTAAAGTATAAATTCTTATCCAATACTTGAACTGTAGTCCTGGAAATGAACCCACAAAACTGTAGCTTTGTCAAACAGTTCTTACAACTTAGTGTTTTGTTTAGAAAATGCATTATAGGTGAACTTCAGCAAAAACTAGCTATATAATGTAGTCCTATCCCCATAAACGAATATAAAAGCTTTTAAAATCTTGTTACAGTAACTGACTTTCGAGTCCTAACTTTATACACAGTTTCTAAAAACACTGCACGTTAGCCCTGTTTTCTAAAAAGAGATTTAGTGTTAAAACTACATTCACAAATGCCAGAGCATCAAAGCAGAAGCCAAGTAAAATTGTAGATTCATGATTCACTTGTGTTGCCAGTTGGATGGTGTACTACTGCAATACAAAAGATATGTATGTAGCAACTGGAGTGTCACTTGACAAAAAACCAATAGAACCAGTACTAAGATCTACAGTATACTGTA